CAACATCAGCATCGTCATCATCAGCATCATCATCGCCATCATCATCAGTACCATCATCATCATCATCACCATCATCATCACCATCATCATCATCATCATCATCAGCATCATCGTCATCATCATCATCATCACCCTCCTCACCCTCCTCCCCCTCCTTCCCCCTCCCCCTCCTCCCCTCCTCCCCCTCCTCCCCCTCATCCCCCTCCTCATCCCCCTCCCCCTCCTCCCCTCTTTCCGCCTCCTCCTCCTCCTTTTCCTCCTCATCTTCTCCTCTCCTCCTCCTCCTCCGCCTCCTCCTCCTCCTCCTCCTCCTCCTGCTCCTCCTCCTCCTTCTCCTCCCCTCCTCCGCCTCTTCCCTCCTCCCCCTCCCCCTCCTCCCCCTCCTCCCCCTCCTCCCCCTCCTCTCCCTCCTCCCCCGCCCCCTCCTCTGGTCTCCCCTCCTCCTCATCCTGTTCGCTCCTCGATCAGTTTACTCCTCCTCCTCCTCCTCCTCTTCCTTATCCCTCCCCCTCGTTCTTCTCCTCCTCCTCCTCCTCCTCCTCCTCCTCCTCCTCGTTTTCCTCCTCCTCCTTCTCCTACTCCCTCCCATCTCTCCTACCCCTCTCCTCCTCCTCCTCCTCCTCCGCCTCCTCCTCCTCCTCCTCCTCCTCCTCCTCCTCCTCCTCCTAGCTCCCCTCGCCCCCCTCGCTCTCTCAACAGTCCTCTTTGAAGTCCCCTATCCCACCAGCCCTTTGGGCGTGAGTGGTTTAGAGAGCCCGCTCTGTTCTCAACCCCCTTCTTCCCCTTCGGGGAGGGGTTTACCCCTCCCCCTACCCCCTCCCCCTGGGCCTGGAGAGGTCCTTTCGCGGGTCGTCGGATGGGTCTTGTTCGACTCCTGGGAGGGCTAAACAAACGACACCCCTCACGAGGATTCTGGCCCCGACGGGGGGGGGGAATGCTCCCCTCTTCTTTGAAGCCAAAATCATTGATTGTACTACGGTTTTGGCCCCATTTTGGCTCTGAGGGGGCAGCGCTAATTAAAGCTCACCCTCTTCTTTCAAGCCAAAATCACTGATTTTACTAAGGTTTGGGCCCCATTTTGGCCTTCTGAGGGGGCAGCGCTAATTAAAGCCCCCCTCTTCTTTGATCGATTTCCTCCTAGATGGCCCCAAGAAGCGCCCAGAAGGCACCAAGAGGCCCCAAGATGGCCCCAAGAGGCCCCAGGAGGCCCCCAAGAGGATCCCAAACGGCCCAAAGAGGCCCCCACGAGGCACCCAAGACGCCGAAGAGTCCATCAGGACGACCCTCTACTCGCCTGGGCGTCGTTTCTGGACGGGCAGGAGGAGGGGCCCGAACGACTCACACCAGGACGAGGGGCCCGAACAACTCACACCACGAGAAGCCCGAACGACTCACACCAGGACGAAGAGCCCGAACGACTCACACCACGAAGAGCCCGAACGACTCACACCAGGAAGAAGGGCCCGAACGACTCACACCAGGACGGGAACCCCGAACGACTCAAACCACGAGGAGCGTTTTCTCTCCCTCCTCCTCCGCCTCGTCCTTCTCCCGCTCCCACCACAAGGAAGATGTACAAGGAGGCGGGAGGAAGGAGGAACAGGGGAGATATGCGGGGGCAGGCGGAAAGACGCCTGAAAAACACGACTGTCGGCATGCTTCGCTAGAGCTGCTGTTTTGAGATGGGCTGGTGGGGATACGCGAAGCGTGAAGAATCCCACCAGCCCTTTGGGCGTGAGTGGTTTAGAGAGCCCGCTCTGTTCTCAACCCTCCTTCTTCCCCTTCGGGGAGGGGTTTACCCCTCCCCCTACCCCCTCCCCCTGGGCCTGGAGAGGGCGCCTCGCGGGTGGTCAGAGGGGTCTTTTTCGACTCCTGGGAGGGCTAAAAAACGACACCCCTCACGAGGATTCTGGCCCCGACGGGGGGAGGGAGAAAAAATGCTCTCCTCATCTGTGATCGATCCCCCGACAGATGGCCCCAAGATTCCTCCCAGACCCCTCCAAGAGGCCTCCAAGAGGCCTCCAAGAGCCCCCAAGAGGCCTCCAAGAGGCCCCCAAGATGCTCCCAAGAGGCCCCCAAGAGGCCCCAAGAGGCTCCCCCGAGGCACCCAAGACGCTCCTGGAAGCCCCTGGAGCCGCCAAGAGGCCCCCAAGACGCCCCAAACGGCCTCCAAGAGGCTCCCAAGAGGCCCGAAGAGGCTCCCCCAAGGCACCCAAGACGCTCCTAGAAGCCCCTGGGGCCGCCAAGAGGCCCCCAAGACGCCCCAAAAGGGGACGAGGTGCCCGAACGCCTCACGCCACGAGGAGCCCGAACGACTCACACCAGGACGAGGGCCCGAACGACTCACACCACGAAGAGCCCGAACGACTCACACCAGAAGGAGGGGCCCGAACGACTCACACCAGGACGAGGCGCCCGAACGACTCACACCACGAGGAGCCCGAACGACTCACACCACGACGAGGGCCCCGAACGACTCACACCACGAGGAGCCCGAACGAGTCACACCAGGAGGAGGGGCCCGAACGACTCACACCAGGACGAGGGGCCCGAACAACTCACACCACGAGAAGCCCGAACGACTCACACCAGGACGAAGAGCCCGAACGACTCACACCACGAAGAGCCCGAACGACTCACACCAGGAAGAAGGGCCCGAACGACTCACACCAGGACGAGAAACCCCAAACGACTCAAACCACGAGGAGCGCTTTCTCTCCCTCCTCCTCCGCCTCGTCCTTCTCCCGCTCCCACCACAAGGAGGATGTACAAGGACGCGGGAGGAAGGAGGAACAGGGGAGATATGCGGGGGCAGGCGGAAACACGCCTGAAAAACACGACTGTCGGCATGCTTCGCTAGAGCTGCTGTTTTGAGATGGGCTGGTGGGGATACGCGAAGCGTGAAGAATTTCTCCATATGAATACTACTCTCCCTCTTCCCCTGATGACGGTTTGAAAGTATTAGCCCCCCCGCGTACTGTTTTTTGCACACAGGATTCCCCGGAGTTGGGTTTTCGCCTGCATTTGTTTCCAAAATGCTGCTCTCGCTGGGGCGCCGGCCTCATGTTCGGGCCCCGCTCGTTCCGAATCGTGCTCCCGCTGCAGCGCTGGCCTCATTTCCGTGCTTCCGCTCGTTCCGAATCGTGCTCCCGCTGCAGCGCTGGCCTCATTTCCGCGCTTCCGCTCATTTCGACTCGTGCTCCCGCTGCAGCGCTGGCGTCATTTCCCGTGCCATGCCACGGCATGCCATGAAAATGCTAGGTTGATACTACGCTTTGCGGTGCTCTTCTACGCCATGCCATGCCGTGCTCTACAATGCATCGCGTACCCTTTCGGGATCATTGCCCTGCTCGACATCCGACTGTGCGAGTAGAGAGGGGATCTACGCCATGGTAAGGGATGGGAGGGAGGGGTAGGATGTCAGATATGACGCGAGCGCACCTAGCTTGTCCTCCTCCCCCTCCCCCTCCTCCCCCTCCTCCCCCTCCTCCTCATCATTTTCCTCCTCATCATTTTCCTCCTCCTCTTCCTCCTCCTCCTCCTCCTCCTACTCCTACTCCTCCTCCTCCTCTTCCTCCTCCTCCTCCTGCTGCTGCTCCTCCTCCTCCTCCTCCTCCTCCTCCTCCTCCTCCTCCTCTCCTCCTCTCCTCTCCTCCGCCTCCTCCTCCTCCTCCTCCTCCTCCTCCTCCTCCTCCTCCTCCTCCTCCTCCTCGTCGTCCGCCTCGTTACCTTGCTGCTCAATGATCGCCACGTGCCGACACAATGTGACCGCCCACGGAAACGCGCCCAGTCCGTCTTCTGATCACTGGCCTCTAGCATGTTCATCGCCCTGGACTCCCCTCGCTCTCTCTCCCTCTCTCTCTCTCTCTTTCTCTCGTTCGTCGCGCGCACGTATCGTGCCCCGCCCGAAACGCAACCAGTACTGATCGTCACTGCCAAGAACGGAGAACGTTACGTACGCCACGTGTTGACACAATTCCGCGAACGTCTGCATCACAACTCTGATTGTCAATACAAGCCTCGTGAAATCGGAAGCGGCATTGCCAAATGATCGTAGTTACTATTTCTACCACAGTAGGCAGCAGTTGAGCAAATTATAGAAAGGCATGACTCCAAGCGATTCCAAGCTTGCCAAGGCACGGACCCGGAAGAAGATGGTCGTGAGATGAACAGTTCAGCTCTGTCTGTGCCTGGATCGCACAAACAAGCAAACGAGGGGGAAGAGACGACAGTGGCGGGTGGTTGGGCGATCGTCTTCTATCCTATTTTACCCCAAACAAATGGCAACCATTTGAGCCACGGACCCCCCACAGGCCCTAGCCCGAGAGGTCGGTTCTGCAGACGAAGACGGCGCACAGGGCCTGGTGCAGAGCGCGGCACTGCCAGTGAGAGACGACCAGGTCGCACCAGGCACCTGCAGGAGTCGAAGTGGACAAACCTGCACGCGTGTCTCAGAGTCGCCTCGAACGAGCGCGCGAGGCACTGAATGGAGAGTTCGGGCGCTCGGGGTCTCCGCTGACATCCTCCGACGCAACATGTCATCGCGCGATGCACTGATCGGAGAGTTCGGGCGCACGGGGTCTCCATCCTCCGACGCAGCATGTCTAGTAGGAAAAACGGCATGAGCATAGACTTTTGTAACTCCGCGCGGATTTCTAGGATCCGCGCCGGCGAGCGGAGCGCGCCAAAGGCGCCGCTGGAGGCGCAGCCGGGGGTGGCCCAGCGCGAATGCGAGAAATCCGCGCGGAGCGCCATTTATCGCGTGTTCTTCCTCTTCTTTCGGGGATGGACAGATCCCCCTTTAGTAAAACGTGGTTTAGTGAAAACGACCTGAGGCCCAAACCTGGCGGGCGCAAGCCTGGAAAATCACGGCCGCGGCGCCCTCTCGAGAACCGAAAACGGACAGTTCACTAATCGACGTGTCACTGTCGGGGGTTCTGTCCACCCCCGATTCTTCTTCGAACGTCAGCGCGTCTCCCCGCGGCTGCACCTCCCCCCGCCCGCACCGCGCTGCCCCGCTCCACCATCGTCCGCCCGTCGGCGGGGTCGGCCTGGCTCAGCGGCCACAAAGAGCGGGTGGGCATGGGCAGAGGCCACGGAGGGGCGCGGTGATGTTAGGAGGCCACATGCGAACCCTCCCCCTCAGAAATCGTGGGGGTTAGGGGTAGGGTTCGCATGTGGCCCCTAAATGTGCGGTCCGCTGGGGCACCACTGACACGTCAGCGAGGACCCCCTGCAAATCCGGCATCGCGGGCCTGGAGGCATTGCTCCTAGCTTCCGAACCTTGGCAGCGAGCGAGGGAGGGAAGTGAGAAGAGGAAGGCCTTCTCGGAAGGCGGCGGGACTTCTCAGAAGCCCTCGGGCCTTCTAAGAAATTGGCTGTGTCTTCGGGGAAGGCTTAGAAAACTTATCAGAAGGCCGGGGGGGCTTCCGAGCCTTTCGAGAAGGCCCGCCCCTTCTCACGTCCCCCCCTCGCTCGCCGCCGAGAAGCAGATCTCTGTCCTGGAAAACGCTGAAGAATCAGAGGAGCTGCAACGCTCAGGCAACAGCAACTGCTTGTAGCACATGTCGGCGGCAGTCAGCTGGGGCACCATTGACACGTCAGCGACGACCCCCTGCAGATCCAGCATCATGAGTCTGGAGTCATGGCTCCTAGCTTCCGAAGCAGTTCTCTGTCCTGAAAAACGCTGAAGAATCAGTCATTTCACCGACCTTGCAGACGTGCTGCAGCGGATTGTTGCGTGGATCTCCGCCGATGCAAAACCCGAAACGGCGAGCGAAAAAGAAAAGGAATATTACGTGGATGTGTTGTAGTCTTCATTCCTAGCCAAACAAATCCGCGCGAAATTCATGTCGAAATCCAGAACGAAATTATCCAGGACAATCTGGGCCCATCTAATTGTTTTCCGAACGGAATCCGCTCTACGATGCTGGCGCCATGAGACTCAGAGGAGCTGCAACGCTCAGGCAACAACCACGGCTTGGAACACAATCCGGCGACTCTGTAATCCCTTCACGACTCTTCCAGCTGTCATGACGCTGGACAGCGCTGGTGCGGGTCAAGGGGCGTATACAGTCGGGGCTGATTGGAGAGGACATGCGAGAGGACACAAGACCTTTCCGAAGGCCAGATTGCCACAGGAATGTGAGGGCGTGTGCCGCGAAACATGGGACACAAGAGTACCCTCGGTTTGGCATGTTCGACCTACTGATCAACATCGACTGTAGGTGCACATGCAGTTAATGCCGACAACTGTCAGTGAGAACAGGAGGAGATGCCGAAGGAAATGAAGCTGAACAGGAATTGTACAATCCCACCAGCCCCCTGGACGTGGGTGGCTTGGCGAGGAATGATGTCCGACCTCACTCCCCTTCGGGGAGAGGCCACCTGTCCAAACTCTTCCTCCTCCTCCTCCAACTCCAACTCCGACTCCTCCTCATCCTCCTTCTCTTCGTTGTCTTCTTCGTTTTACGATTAAGAATATTAGTGTCAGTCGTATTATTCGTATGTTTCTTAATAGTAGTATTCGTATTAGTTATGGTGGCATGCGTATTACATGATGCGGATTGGTCGTCGTAGTCTTAGCATTCCCCTTATGATTAGCAGTATCGTTATTATTAGTAGTCTTATATGCACTAGCACGATTAATGAATTCGTACGAATAGCATCGTTACTCCTAGTCTTCTGAATAGTATTGGTAGTGTTGTTGCTCGTCGTAGTAGTGGTGTGCGATTACCATGTGCCTTACATTCGCATTGTTAGTCTCAGTCGCCTGCGTACTCTTAGTAATACAAAATATGTAGATGTGTAGTCTTATTCAGATTATGGTAAGTACAAGTAGTACTAAAATTAGTCTTACATTATTAAGAATAGTGTTCGTGATATTGTTAGTAGTGGTCTTCTCCTGATGGGTGGTATTCGTACTCTCCTTAGTTGTAGTAGTAGTATTTGTCTTATCGCATCACTATAAGAATCCGCTGGCCCCCTTGTGGGGCCACCAGGCTGTAGGCGCGTGATTCGCAGTTTCCTGTACCAGTCGTAGGTTGTAGTTTCCAGTGTTACAGTTCTGAGTCTTGCTGGTTACTGTAACTAGTTGACTTCTTGCTGGTGACTGTAACTAGTTGATTGACCGCGCGAGGGGGGGGAGGCCCAAACAGGATTTTTAGCCTCACCTGGGCGCGTTGTCTGAATTGCTGGGGGGGCTCGAAATCGACACCCCTCACGCAGATCCGCGGGGTCAGGGTCCAAAAACACATGGGATTTGCCACATTTCTGAAATCGGTGCCACCCCTCACGCAGATCCGCGGGGTCAGGGTCCAAAAACACATGGGATTTGCCACATTTCTGAAATTCGGTGCCACCCCTCACGCAGATCCGCGGGGTCAGGGTCCAAAAACACATGGATTTGCCACATTTCTGAAATTCGGTGCCACCCCTCACGCAGATCCGCGGGGTCAGGGTCCAAAAACACATGGGATTTGCCACATTTCTGAAATTCGGTGCCACCCCTCACGCAGATCCGCGGGGTCAGGGTCCAAAAACACAGGGGATTTGCCACATTTCTGAAATTCGGTGCCACCCCTCACGCAGATCCGCGGGGTCAGGGTCCAAAAACAAGGGATTTGCCACATTTCTGAAATTCGGTGCCACCCCTCACGCAGATCCGCGGGGTCAGGGTCCAAAAACACATGGGATTTGCGAAATTCGGTGCGCAGCAAGGCGTGGTAACCCAAACTGCGAGTACTCCCTCGGCCCTTTAATCCCAAGGTGTGGTAACCAAGCTCGTAAACCATACACGTCTTACCAATCGCCCTGTGTGGTAACCCCTCTTGTGATCAGTTGGTTTTGCCGATTGCGAATCGGCCTCGCATGAAGTTCCGATACTGCTGCACGACAGCGCCAAAGCCTCATGACTTAGCTCTTCCATGGCCCATTCTCCGAGAGAGGGGGCCGGCGGCAGGGGGCGAAGCCCTTACGGATCTGTTTCCTCCTACTCCTCCTCCTCCCCCCTTCCCTTTCTCCTCCTCCTCCTCCGCCTCCTCCCCCTCCTCATCCTCCTTCTCCTCCTCCTCCTCCTCCTCCTCATCCTTCTCATCCTCCTCCTCCTCATCCTCTTCCTCCTCCTCCCCCTCCTCCTCCTCCTCCTCCTCCTCGTCCTCCTCCTCGTTCTCCTCCTCTCGCACTCCTTCTCCTTATACATAACTTCTCACCGTCGCACTTCGAGGCAAGTTCTTAGGGCGGATGGGGCGCTTCGCCTGAGATTTCCTCACCATGTATGGCCATGAAGCGTAAAGGTTCACAACAGTTTCACAAACGGAGCGCTGGTGGTTTTCAAAATGTGGCTCTCACCTTAGCGACGCGCACATTATTATTCCACATTTGCGAGGGCTTCACGGATTGAGGGCGGGTCATGTTCAAAATGTGGCTCTCGCCTTAGCGCCGCGCACATTCGTTTTCAAAATGTGCAAGAATGTCACAAGTTGGGGGCGGGCCGTTTTCAAAATGTGGCTCTCGCCTTTGCGTACATTCGTTTTCCACATGTGCGAGAGCTTCACGGATTGAGGGCGAGTGGTTTTCAAAATGTGGCTCTCGCCTTAGTGCCGCGCACATTCATTAAAGAGTCGCAAAGGTTTCACGGATTGAGGGCGGGTCGTTTTCAAAATGTGGCTCTCGCCTTAGCGCCGCGCACATTCGTTTTCAAAATCTGCAAGGGGCTTCACGGATTGAGGGCGAGTCGTTTTCAAAATGTGGCTCTCGCTTTAGCGCCGCGCACATTCGTTTTCAAAATCTGCAAGGAGCTTCACGGATTCAGGCAAGTCGTTTTCAAAATGTGGCTCTCGCTTTAGCGCCGCGCACATTCGTTTTCAAAATCTGCAAGAGCTTCACGGATTGAGGGCGGTCCCTTTCAAAGATGTGGCTCTCGTCTTAGCGCCGCGCACATTTTTGCATAAGAATTACAAGAGCTTCGCGGATTATTATGATCGACGTACCAGAATTAATGTGTTGGAAGAATTCACGATTGTGAGGGCGCAAGTCATGATGATTCGCGGTGTTGAAGTCCCAGGAATGGCGTTCTGGCACGATTCAGGATCAACAAGACGCAACAATCAAGTGGATCCATGGCGTTGGAATACCGAGAAAAATGTTTTGGCATGATTCAGGGTCTTCAATCGGTTGCCTTCCAACGAAGCAGGTCCCTCTGTGGAAATGAGCCGTTGTAGGGGCCTATAAAGAGAGAGCTTGGAGGGAGGGCGTATTCCAATATCGTTGGTGAGTCTTGGGTTTACACTGGTCCTCCTCCTTCTCCTCCTCCACCCCCTCCACCTCCTCCTCCTCCTCCTCCTCATCCTCCTCCAGCCCCTCCCACCCCTCCACTCCCCCGTCCACCCCCCCACCCACCTGCCCCCGTTCCACCCCCCCCCCCATCCACCCTCGCCCCACCGCCCCTCCACCCCCCCACCACCCCTCCCTCCAGAATCCCCGGAGCTCCCAGAATGCCCTGGGAGGGCCACTGTGCCTCCTCATACCTCCGCCTCCCTCCTCCTCCCTCCTCATGCCCCCTCCGAGTGGTAATATTTGGACGGACTGGTGGGGATACACGAAGCGTCAAGAACTACGGAGGCGGTGGGAACAAGCAGGACAGAGAGAAAGAAAGAGAGAGAGAGAGAGACAGCAAGAAACAACAACATATACGAGCTCAGCAGAGAAAGGAATAAGACGACAAAAAATCAGGTTGATGACTTGATGACGACAGAAGATTGGAGTGCATCGGCTGGCCGAGAGTACCACGAGCTCCGCGTCATCCTCGCCGCCAGCTTGAAATAGAGATGGCAAGATACAGAGATCGGAGCAGCATCGAACGCCCCCTGCTGATCAACAGGGCAGGCCCATGCCGCAGCCCCAAGACAGGCTCCAAGCAGTGCTTTCACGTAGGGGGTCTTACATTGCCTCACGGAGGTAATTGGTTGTTGGAGGCCTGGAAATTGGCACCAACACCAAGACAGGGGGCTGCCTCCACAGGGTGGAGATGATCCTAGATTTCGGCGTTGGTGCTAATAGTTCGGTCACCTTGGAAGCCAGAATATTACCACCATCACCGAGGATCGGGATCTTCTTCCCGCGGTGGAGGACCACCGCCGATATTGGTGTTGGTGTCAACCTCGAGGCCTGCGAGGGTGCTGTGTTCCCGGTGTTCGCCGCGTCGCGGCCCGTGCCGCCCCGTGAGCGCCCCGCGCGCGCCCCGCGCTTGGGGGTGTGCCCAGGCTGCGCCACGCCGCCGCCTCGTGGGCGCCTCGTGGGCGCCCCGTGGGCGCCCCGTGCTCTCGGCTTGCACGACACAGCTTTCGCCTCCCAGCTTCCACCTCCACGGTGCAAGAACGCACTGCTCGGGATCCAGGCTGGCTCACACCCTGTACCGTCTCTACGTGCACACGCAGCTCGTGTTCTCGAAAGCAAAGTCGGGAAACGCTCGGGAGGATCGCCCCCGAAGCTCTTCCTGCATGACGAGCTCGCACGAGACCTGCCACCACAGCAGCTGTGCTTGGCGGCGCGCAGAGGGGGGTAGGGGGAGGGGAGAAGGCCTCTTAGAAGCACCCCTGCTTCGTAGAAGGCGCGGGCCTTCTCTAGAGACGTAAGGCCGAGGCCTTCTGAGAGGCAGGGTGCTTCTAAGAAGCCGTCCCCCCTCCCCCGACCCCCTTTTGCGCGCCGCCCGTGTGCTCAGGACTCAATCCACAGCGCCCTGGCTCTGGGGAATCGGGCCGGCCCTGGAGCCCTCAGCTCGCGGGGGCCACCATCCGATACTTACCAGCCTGGAGCACATCCCTATCCCTATGATGGCCACCTCCTCATCACGATTTGGGCGCCCGAGTTATCCGGGGTAACTCGGGTCCGGGGTAACTCGGGTTTGGGTTCCCGAAAAACGAACCCGAGTTATCCCTGACCCGAGTTACCCCTGATGATTCGGGGCTCTGGACGCCCGAGTTATCCGGGGTAACTCGGGTCCGGGGTAACTCGGGTTTGGATTCCCGAAAAACGAACCCGAGTTATCCCTGACCCGAGTTACCCCTGATGATTCGGGACTCTGAACGATGCCAGTCTTAGGGAATCCCTTATTTTTGGGGGCGAACCCCTAAGACTGACATCGCCTTTTGGCGTGTCAATCGTAAGGATAGGGATACGCTCGAGGCTGGTAAGATGTGCGAGAGAATGCCGGAAGAGATCGAACGACAGCACGCGAGAGGGAGAGGCTCAAGATACCTGCGTGGCCAGGGCTGCGAAGACTAACTGGGCTGTTGGAGAGCGTGTTTCGATTCGCGGCGCGGACGGGCGTTAAGGGGGGAGGGCGGGGAACGCATAACATAACGCCGCGTCCCCCGCCGTGACAGACTGTGGTGCCAGACGCTCTGGGACGCTCTGCGGCAGCGCTGGGGACGCGCTGGGCGGGGAGGAGCATTACGTTATGGGGAGGGGGGGGGCGAGAGGGGGGGCATGACACGCGCTATGCCCAAGAGGGTCTTTTGCACACATAAAAAACAAATCAACAAACGACTAAGAATAATAATGTTCTAATAATAAGAATAACACTAACAGTGAGAATAATACTACGAAATCCAAATAATAACAACACTAACAATACGAATGAGCATAATGCGGAGGAGAGGAAGAAGAAAATCAATACTAGCAATAGTAAGAGTAGTGAAACAGATAGCAACAATAAGAATAACAATACCAACAATAATAGTAGTTTGAACAATTACTGCACACTTTGGGATGATGAGCAAGGGCAACAAGAACCTTAGCCAGGATAAGACTGATACGTTCGCTCTTGGCGATGGGGCATTGGAGCCGGCAAGCTCAAAGGGGCCCCAGGACACACAAATAAATACACACTAATAAAAAGATTCCCCATAATCATTTTCCCATATCTTCTGGGGTTCTGCCTGCCCCCCCACTTCCCAGATGTTCCCATGCTTTCTGGGGAATCGAGGATTCATTGTGTCTGTGTGCTTCTTTTCCCCCCGGCAAGCCCCCGCCGGCCCCGCCGTGGGCTTCCCCGGAGGCCGCGGGGGGCGGGCCGCGCCGCGCCGCCGGGCTCCGCGGGCCCGCCGCCCGCTGCCACCGACGCGCCAGGGGGGGGGGGGGCGCCGCGGGCGCGCCTGCCGGCGGCCCGGCTCGGCCTCGGGCAGCCTTCCCGGAAGGGGCCCCGGGACACACAAAGAAAGACACACAAAGAAAAGTATCCCCCATATTCTCCCCTATGTTTGGGGGCCCATCCTGGGCCCAGCATGGGCCCTCTCGGGATCGGTGTTGGTGTATCGTTGGCGTCCTCCCAGGTCGCCCCTTCTTGAAGGGGCCCGAGGACACACAAAGAAATACACACAGATAAAAATATCCCCCATATTCTCCCGTATTTTGGGGGTTTCGTCTTCCCGCCCAGTTCCCATAGTTTCCCACATCTTCTGGCGAGTCGGCGATGAATTGTGTCTGTGTGTTTTTCCCTCTCCTGATTCCCTGGGCGCCTCCCCCCCGCCCCCCCCCCTATCGCCGGTGGACAAACCTCCCTTTCGCAAACCTCCCCGCAGGGAGAGCTGCCTGGGACGAAAAAACCGACGAACCCGGGCCCGCAAGAGTGACGGCCGCGGCGCCCTCTCGCGAACCGAAGACGGCCAACTCCTTCGTCGGCGTGTCAGGGTAGGAGGTCTATGCACCTCCGATCTGAAGAAAAAAAATGAAGGCCTCGCGCGGCAACCTGGGACCAAATTTACGTCGGATCCGCGTCGGATTTGCGTCGGGTTCACGTCGGACCACGTCGGAATCACGTCGGACTGACGCCGGAGCATCGCCGCGCGAGCGTCGACCCATAGCCTACGGAGCTGACGTGTGGACTAGATAATGCGCGCCGCGCGAGGCCAGGATCTTTCCTCATAACCTCCCTCCTCGTTGGTTGACCCAAAAGGGGGTCCAGCTGAAAGGGGGTGGTGCAATAGATTTGGGGCAATTTTATTGCAAATGTATCGCGCCAGAGACATGTATTGCAATTGTATTGCAACTCATGCACTGCACGCGAAAACCCAGCAGTAAACTTGCGCACTGGAGTGTGTTGCACGCCCCAGATGATTGCAACCCCACAGATCTATTGCACCAAGTCTATTGCACCACCCCCTCGTCGCTGACCCCCCGTTTAGGTCGGGGAGATCCTCCCTGGTCCTGCTATTCGGCGATCCTTGGGCCTCCCAGATGGACACAAGACCGCCCCACGACGGCCGCAAGATGCTCCACGGCCACCTCAGCACGGCCCAGCGACCCCCCGGAGGCCCGAAGATGTTCCCACGGCGCTCCAAGATGCGCGAGGAGCCCCCAAGGGGTGCTCAAAGAGATCTCCAGCGAAGCATTACAAGACCAACAACAATAGTCTCAGGAAGTTCGAAGCGTTTGCTTCCAGCAAGGGCCTCGAGATGATTCAACCAAGCGTGCTCGCGAAGCTCGGTAGTGCCATCGCGCCCGAGATGGCCCCGAGACTCCCAAGGGCACTCCGAAAGGGCCCCAACAGACCCCCGAAGAAGCCCCAACTAGCCTCCAAGAAGCTTCCAGCAAGCTCCGAAGAAGCGCCGCGAAACGCAACGCGATAACCATGCAACCAGAGGCCGCGCCACAACACAGCATCGTAGAGTCACTCTCCATGCCGACTCAATGCGCTCTACCCAGCTTTCTCGGAAGCCTCAGTAGAACCACGATACATACACCACCCTGTACGCATATCGATGGCGCAACAGCACAGGGCTTGATGCAGGCAGCGGACGCGCTGCTCGTTGAGAGGAAGAAAAAGTACCCATACCACTACCTTTCGCCCGTTTTCCCCTTTGGGGGACTCCTGGGAGGCCATCGTCGCCACCGCTGAATTCGCCTCGAAATTCTGATCAGAACGCACCCCAGGAGAGGTCCGGGGAGTAGAGGTATCGGTACAGGTAACTTTTGGTTCCCCACTCGTGTCCCTCGGTCGAGTGGCCCCTCGGACGGCTCGCCCTCTTCGGTGACAACGCATGGGAGCCTCCCATACCATTTTGTCGGCTCTTGCGAGTCGGCGCTAGTCGACGCTAAATCGACGCTAATCGACGCTCACCGACGCTAAATCGGCGCTACCTCATCGCCTCCCAGACGCAAATCGACGCTAATCGACGCCAACCGACAAGAGAGACAGAATTGCGAGGGTACACAAGGCTCCCATGATTTGCTACCGAGCACCCCTTCCCTCTTCCCCTCACAGTCTCTCCCCCCCCGAGACGGCGACCCCGGGCAAGGCGGGCGGGGGGGGGGCGTCCCTGTGCGAGAGCACGACCGCCAGCTTCTCCGCGCCGCCCCCGTCGCGCAGCACGTGGCGGCCGCCCTGCGCAGCGGCGCTGGCATCTGCACGAGGGAAGGATGCTGAAAAGCATCAGGGACGAGGGGGTCTTTTCTGCAGACGTGTCGGACCACACCACCCCAGAGTTATCATCCCTCACTCGCCATCGCTCAGACGTCCATTCCCTGTTTTTTGGGGGGGGGTCGCGCGTGGTTTTTTCGCCAAATGATCAAGGATGCTCCTCGACGGTCCTCGCCAAAGGAAAAACGCACACGTCCGAGCGATGCCAAGCTCATGCGAAGAACGGGACCTCAGTGAGGCCACGCCTTCACTGTGCTAATTATTGGGGTCAGGGGTTCTTCTCCCCTCGATGAAGAGGCGCCCCCAGCCGCAGGCACCCCTCCAGGCACGGCGTCCACTGCGAGATTCTTCTAGGGCTCCCAACTTCGCGCTTCGCGCTGCGCGAAGCGCGAAGCGCGAATAACTTCGCGCTCTCGCGCCGCCCTCCCAAAGGGAGAATAGGAGGACGAGGAGGAGGAGGAGAAGGAACGAGGACCGCGAAGCGCGAAGCGCGAATAACTTCGCGCCCTCGAGGGAGCCCTTGATTCTTCGATCCGCAACGCTGACAGTCGCTCGGCGCGGCCGACGCGGAGGCCAGGCAGCCACGGCGTCCACGAGCAGAGCATGCTCGGAACGCAGCGCGCGGGAGGGCATGCGCCGACACCTCGGGCGCCGGCGTGGGAGATGCCTGGCCCTCCCTAAAGGGGCCCAGGGACACACAGATCAATTGACACGAATCCCAGGGGTCCCAATATTTTCTCATGTTTTGTGGATTTTCGTCTTCCCCCCACTTCCCATATTTTCCCATCTTTTCCTGGGAGTCGCCGGTTACTTGTGTCTGTGTGTGTTTTGTCCCCTCCTGACTCCCAAGGCCCCCAGTCCGGGGACCCAACTCTGCCGGGTTGGACCGGAGGGGGCCGCACGGGTGGTAAAAACGACCCTGGGCGCCCAAGATGTCCATGTAGAGAGCTCTGGATCTGTGACGGCGCCAAGGTAACCCAAGAGACTCCCAAGACGACAGAAGCAGACCTGACAAGCCCAAAGAGGCCCGAGGGGCGCCCCCAGGTCCCAAGAAGCGCCAGAGGGGCCCCAGAAGCCAGAAGAGAGAGCCCAGACATGCAAAGCCATCCACGTGCACACTGCTTGTCAGCGTTTACTGCCCGTCGGACGAGCAAGAAACGCTGACAGGCAGTGTGCACGGCCCGTAGATCGGGAAGAGTGAGAGAGGGACGGCGTCCCTCTCTCACTCTTCCCGATCTACTCCGTCAACTCCTATTCGTCCTCCATCTCCTCCCTTCAGGGGGACGTAAGACCTGGGTACAGGGGACTCGGAAATCCCCGACGAGGTCGTCAAAAAAATGACGAGGCCGAACCTGCATTTTGACGAGGCCTCCCGCTGCAGACATCCCACGAAACTCCTCCTCGTCAAAATCCGAGGCGCGGTCGTCAATTACTCCGACGGAAGAACCCCACATAAGAATCCTCTGGGCGAATCTGGAAAAAGCCATCACCGTCGTCCTCGTGGTTGGTGAGGCGTCCTGGCTGTCTCTTCTGCGTATATTTCCTCTCGCCTTGGCGCGGGCCCCCCTTCCACTCCTTACGTTGTCCCCATCCTCGCCCCCCTGTTTGTTCCGCGCCCCGCCACCTCCTCCCCTTCCTGTTGCATGAGCGCGCATGTCGATGTTCCTCGGCGCCGTCGCCGCCACGGCCAGCACAGGCGCGTTCTCTACAGGTCACGTCGCGCAGCCGTTGGGACAACCCCGCGGGCCAGGCTGTCGGGACAACCCCGCGAGCCGTTGGCGCGCAAGACCAAGCCGTTGGGACAACCCCGCGGGCTTCGAGCGAGGCGCAGCCGCGCTCAGGCGGAAGGCAGCACGAAGCCCAGCTCTGCCGCGAGCTGCTTCGCCTCCGCCCTGGACAAAACCGTTCTCTTGTCGAACTCCAGGAGCGCCTTCCGCAGGGACGCCGGCGGCCCGCACTCCAGGAACTCTCGCGGCGGCGGCCGCAGGATCAGCATGTTCCGCATGCACGTGGCGCGGGAGAACATGACGTAGAGGTGCAGCCACCACTGCTCGTCCGACATGCCCGTGCGGCCAGCGTCCTCGTCTCTCGCGCAGTCGATGGTGACGCCCTTGCGCAGCGTCTGGCCCTGCGACAGCGTGGAGGTCAGGTAGGACGCGTGCGTCAGGGTGAACCCCGAGCGGCGCACGCTGTGCGCCCCCGAGCTCTGCCATGTGAACTCCCTTTCGCTGGGCCTGAACATCAGCAAGCTCCGCGCCCGCGCCTCGGCCTGGCCGTCGTCGTCGGCGCCTTCGGCGCCCTGTCGCAGCACCTCGGCGACCTGAGGAGCCCAAAAACTTCCTTGTTGCATCCAAAGTGTGGCCTGGGAACTGCGTTCTGGCAGCGCGAGAACCCAACATTGACGACAGTTACAGGTTTTGGATGACCTGCTCGGATTACCAACATGATCTGCGGGCCCCATAGGGAGGGGGCTCCCGCCTGAGACTTCCTCGCAGTTCACTCACAGACGAGGCTCCCGCCTGAGACTTCCTCCATATTCAGGCTTGAGGAGCCCAAAAGTGACGACAGTTACAGGGTTCCGATGACCCGCTCGGATTACCAACATGATCTGCGGGCCCCATAGGGAGGGGGCTCCCGCCTGAGACTTCTTCACAATTCACTCAAAGACGAGGCTCCCGCCAGAGACTTCCTCCAAATTCAGGCTTGACGAGCCCAAAAGTGACGACAGTTACAGGGTTCCGATGACCCGCTCGGATTACCAACATGATCTGCGGGCCCCATAGGGAGGGGGCTCCCGCCTGAGACTTCCTCGCAGTTCACTCACAGACGAGGCTCCCGCCTGAGACTTCCTCCATATTCAGGCTTGAGGAGCCCAAAAGTGACGACAGTTACAGGGTTCCGATGACCCGCTCGGATTACCAACATGATCTGCGGGCCCCATAGGGAGGGGGCTCCCGCCTGAGACTTCTTCACAATTCACTCAAAGACGAGGCTCCCGCCAGAGACTTCCTCCAAATTCAGGCTTGACGAGCCCAAAAGTGACGACAGTTACAGGGTTCCGATGACCCGCTCGGATTACCAACATGATCTGCGGGCCCCATAGGGAGGGGGCTCCCGCTTGAGCCTTCCTCAGAATTCACTCACAGACGAGGCTCCCGCCTGAGACTTCCTCCATATTCAGGCTTGAGGAGCCCAAAAGTGACGACAGTTACAGGGTTCCGATGACCCGCTCGGATTACCAACATGATCTGCGGGCCCCATAGGGAGGGAGCTCCCGCCTGAGACTTCCTCCCAATTCACTCACAGACGAGGCTCCCGCCTGAGACTTCCTCCATTTTCAGGCCTGGGGAGCCCAAAAGTGACGACAGTTACAGGGTTCCGATGACCCGCTCGGATTACCAACATGATCTGCGGGCCCCATAGGGAGGGGGCTCCCGCCTGAGACTTCCTCACACTTTACTCAACGATGATGAGGATGAGGATGATGAGTGGTGGTGAAGATGAGTGGTGAAGAGGATGATGATTGATTGTGGGTGGTGGTGGCGATGATGATGTTTGAATGAGGATGATGCCGATACCGATGATGACGATGATGTTCGTGAGCGTGTGAGAGAGTGCGAGTGATGATGATGTGTGTGTGTGTGTGAATGAGTGCGAGGAGAAGAGGGGGTGAGTGAGATCTCTCTCCTGCGCGGGGGTGTGCAGAGAAAACAAGAACCCCACTTTGGATGTGGGGAAAAAACGATGGCGAACCCGAGTCCTGGCAAACCCGGGTCTTACGCTCCACCTCCTCCCTCCTCGTCAGCCTCGTGTTGACTCGTGATCCTCTGCTCCGCCCGTGCTCCTGCTCACGTCCAGAGATCACAACGCCCGTGGAGGCCAACGGGCAGCCTGACCCTCAAAGGTCTTTGGGGGGGTAACGAATCATTCTTCCCGCGGCCTTCTTGAAGGACTGGGGTCCCACCAAAAGGGGGGTAACTGATTCTTTTGTTCCGCGGCACCCGAACAACGACGACGACAGCTAGGAGGAGGGAGGAGGGAGAAAGAGGAGGCAGAGGAGGAGGTCTTGGAATCAGTCGTATTCACCGCCAAGCGGATAAGGGGGGGGACCAAAACTGAAGACCTTCAGCGGTAAATGAGCCAAGAGGTGTTTCTTCAGAACCGCCTGCGAGGACCTTGCGCGAGGATGCGCCAGGCACGCGCCTGATCGCAAGCCTCTCAGGCATGCGACGGCGGTGCCCCTGTCGGAGCCTCCCATGCGATCAACCTACTAATATCGACCTCACCGGTCATGCCCAGCATCGGCGGGGTGTACAACAAACACCCCCGGATTGATAAGCACACCCAGCAACTGCCAGGCCCTCACTGGAACCTCGCAGCCTCCTGAAGCCTGGTCAGGTCTTCCTTCGTTGTTTATGTTTGAGCTCCATGGTCCCGTTGGCTCCCCGAGGAGATGGAAACTCGATCTGATTTGTCGCTCGGGCGCTGCTACCTTCGCCGACGCCCTGGCCCTGTACCGCAGAAAAGCCAGCGCTCTGCTCGATGAGTTGACTGTACGCTCGCACCCAGAGCTCTACGTGCTTGCTGCTTGCTGTAACGCCGCCGGGTACCACCGCGACCCCGCACAGCGCCACTGCAAAGAGAAATCTAGCTGTCTGGTCGTGCAGTCGGCTGTTCTGAGGGGGTGGAGGGCGCAGCTGTTGAGGTTGGGGGAAATCTGGTGACGTCTGGTGTGGTGAAGATGCATCGGCCGAATTCTGCGCGGGGGATCATATGCTCGTCAGCTTATGCGAGAGCACAGCACGGGGCCCACACCAGTCGCTCCGCGTTGGTCCGGCAGGATGCGGCAACCATCAGCGAAGAATGCGACAACGGCAGGCCGTCCGTCCACGCTTGGCCCGCATGCCACGGACACGAGAAGTGGGGGGACAGCGACGCACTGGCTTAGCAGCGAGCGTCACTGACTGGCTTCATTGTTGCCGAGCTTCCGGTAGAGAACCACAAACTCAGGATACGCGCAGCGACCATCGAGAAGTGTAAACTCCCTTGGGCAACTGCCGGCGGACCCACGCTGACGAATGACGGTGTGGAAGCCCTGGTGCCTGCTCGCCATCGTGTCTGGCGAGGAGAGCTCCGCCTCACCGGGGGTGAAGGACCTGCCAAGCGCGACTCGGCAAACGAGCAGGGCCAGGAGACCCTGGTAGATGCCGTACTGGTCGTCCACCGCCCTCTCGTCAGCGATGCTGCTGTTCTCCGCGAAACCGAAGCCGTCTCCACGGTGTGCACCCGTGCCAGCTGACCCAGGAGTGAAGCCGCGCTGGCAGATGGCCTCGATCCTCGAAGTGCCCGTCCCGTGGAAGAGCGAGGCGGTGTCTCCGCAGCAGCCCCCGGTGCAGAAGCCGTCCGTCAGCACGGCCTCGCGCGGCACGCCGCGCGAGCGCGCGCCGACCTCCTGCCGTGCGTCGCAGAAGAGCCTCCACAGCGCGGGGTTGCTGTTCTTCATCACCTGCACCACCTCGACGCCCGCGCCCCCGCTCTCGGCGCCCAGCCACGTGGCCTCCACCATGGCCTGCACAGCAGATCTTTCGTCGTCGGACGCAGCCTCCAGCCGCGGCGTCAGCGTCGGCGCTGGCGCGGCGGGCGCCGGGTGGGCAAGGCTGCCGGTGCTGGTGGTCGCCGCCGCGTGCCCATCCGCGGCGGCGGGGCGTTGGCGGTGACGGGGCACTCCCGCGAAGCTGGGTGCCGGCGCTTGAACGGGCTGGCCGGCGGGGATCTCGTTGGCGACGCCACAGCGGAAGCACTGGAACTGGCATCTGCTGCCTGGCGCGTACGGCACCTCTACGTCCATGACCTCCGCACAGTTGCCACACTGCACCCGCACCGTGGCGCCGCTGTGCGCCCGCGCTGGCTCCGCGCCGGCAGAGGCACTGGGCCAGTGACGACCGCATCGGCGATGCTTCAGCTCCCAGTGGTGCCGACGCCTGCCAGACAGCAGCAGCGCGGACAGCATGCTCTCTCGGTGCGGGCTATTTCGAGACAGGCTCGGAGCTGAAACGGCCACGGCTGATCCGACAGATTGACAGCTTGATCAACCACCGCGCTGCACCGCGGCTGGTGTGGGACAGGTCATCGTTTCCGACAACACACTGGTGCCTCAATCCTGGCCATAATTGGGGAAAAATGATACTCAAGATGGCTCCAAGAAATACCCTATGCATTTTCCAAGTCGACGGCTCTCACGTTACAGACATGCATACCCAAACTGTAGCGTGACCACGCCCGAAAGCGTAACGGCACAAGTTGAAAACCCATGTTTCGATACCGACGGCCCTGAAATCAAGGAGCCACCAGTCGGGAACCGGGTAGTAGAGGGGGTAGACCGTTGGATAGATTTGCCATCCCCCGTGGTTCGCCGCAATAGCATCGGCCAACTTCCGCATGAATCCCTATCCACATCCCCTTTGCCCTCTGCCACCACCCCTCCAAACCACCTACCCCTTCAGCGCCATACATGGCGCAACAAAGCAGTGTCTTCTTTTTCGAGGTTTTCTTTGGCTGTGGCGTCCGCTGCCAAAAACCATGCAATCAGCCGACTGGAAGATCCAATCCTGAGAGGCTGCATGTTGTGCAGGGGGTGGCCCTCCCCACGCACGACCCGAAATGCTTGAAGGGTGTGCCAGAACGGACTCGGAGAGGGTGTGCCAAAACGGACTCGGAGACCGCACGCCAATGCGGTCGTGGGTGGAGCTAACACCAATGGGCACGAAACGTGCGACGGTGTGCCGGAATGAGCGCGGCGATCGCATGCGCGTACCCCCACCTTGGCCAGCGCTGCGGGCTCCCTATGGGGTGCGAAACGTGCGACGGGTGTGCCGAACCCCCCAAGATCGCCCAAGGCCCCAACCTGCCCCGGCCCCAGCAGCAGTCGGCCTTCACGGGTATCCGCCACCGTGCCCCCATGGTATGGTGAGGCGTGGTGGAATGCAAAGTGCTGCCTGGAAGGGGTTCTGTTGTACTCTTCTAAAAGACCACCACTCTACCCGCATCCACCCGCATGCAGTAGGGGCTCGACCACAAGAAACCTTCCACGAGAAACCCAACCCTGGAACCCCAGGACTACTTTGAATTTTGGTGTGGGAACGTCACGTACTCCATTGCAAAACCATCAAAACCCAAGAGCAAGCAGGGTGTTTCTTGGCATGGGTTTCCACTGTACATCACCCTCCCTCCCGAGACGAGACCACGATCCCACATGAATGGAATCGTCGTCGCTCCCTGCGCAAGAACCCCTGGTTTTGTCTTCTTCTTTTTTAGTGCATTAAAACCAAAAAATGGCTGGATCCGCGCTCACGAGCTCTTCCAAAGAGGCCGAGGCAGGCCACAAAGACCGCCAAGATGGCCTGATGAACGACCGAAGGCGGCCATCTCAAGACTGCCACAGAGGCCCCCAACACGCACCAAGAGGACGACCACAGGCCCCGCAGTAGGGCCTGCAGCTGTCCCAAGATTCGGGAGGCCTCAACTGTTCGGACTTCCTTTAGCTCCAGACGGTCCTGGAGGCCCAAAATGGTTCCAAAACGACCCCAAAGGGCCCTAAAATTGCCAGAAGCGCCGACCCCCTCTTGCCAGGGGTGAAAGGCCTGTGAGATGATTGCCTGTCCTCCTCCCCCTTTCCCCCTCCCCCCGGGTCCAAAATCTCGTTTACGGGAGGGGTATCCGGGCTCCCCGACGCACCCCCCGAGACTCTGGAGCTTCCAAAATCTGCCTTCCGTGGCCTCAAAGACGTTCCAAGACGGTCCCGAATCGCAGAACAATTGGCCCAACACCCCTACAATGGCTCCAAGACGCCCCAAAACGCCTGCGAGACGCCCCAAGAGCGGGCACTGAGGGGCACAAATCCACTGTTTTTCATTAGGTTCCTCATTGTCTCTGGGGCCTCTGGGACGCTCCAAGACGGCCCAAGAGGCCCCGTAGGCCGCCCCAAAACTGCCCAAAAAGCCCCTACGATGGCCCCAGGACGCCCAAAGAGGGCTCCCGGCCCAAAGAGGGTTCCCAGACGGCCCAAAGAGGGGCCCAAGACGGCCAAAGATCGAACCAAGAGGGCCTCAAGAGACGCAAAAATGGAGAACACGGACCGAAAATCCGATCATTCCGCCCCAAGCAAAGGCCCCAAGAAGCCCCAAAGCGGCCCAAAAAAGGCCTACCGTAAGCCCCAAGCAGCCCCCAGAAGGCCCAAAAGAGGCCCAAAAAACTGCCCCCTAGACGCTTCAAAACTGCCTCCAAGAGGCTCCACTAGGCCCCCAAACAGCTACCAAGACGCCCACAAGAGTCCCCAGATAGTGCCCAAGAAGGCCACGACGTCTCAGCCGTGGACTCCCCGCCTCTTCTGGGGATCGGCGGAATGGCGTAAGCCTCTTGAGTAACCCTGCAGGCAGCTCCCAAGAGGCGCAAGAAAGCGCCAAGACGGCCCAAGAAGGATCCAAGACTGCCCAATGTGGCCCAAGGATTCACAAGGCTACCCCACAGGAGCCCAGGAAAGGACCGACGGAAGGGAGATAGACAACGAAGATGTGAAGAGAACTCCCGACACGACGCAGGGGAGTGCGTCACATGTTTTGGCGCTCCCAAGCCTGGGGAAACGAGGTCTCACACGTGACGGCCTCCTGCGCCCCCCAGAAGAATCGCCACATGGAACGGTGGCGGGACTTGCCGCAGGCAGCTGGATATCTTTCAGCACAGAACTACGTGAAGCCCTGAATCGCGTGAGCTCATGCAGCACATATCAGCACCAAGCTTCCCGACTAGGTTGGCAACAAGCCAGAGTAGAATCTGGACCGTCACTCGGCACCCACGCAATATCGGCGGCTTGGGAATGCTGCGCATCTGCGGCCTGGGACCGCCGAGGCACCGAAGATCGCGAGCAACCTGCTCTCACTTGCAGGACGCGTGGGGGCCGAGAGGAGAAGCAAAAAGCACTGGTCACAACCCGCCCAGCACCACCCGAGAACCGACGCCCCCGTCCTCGGCACCTACTGCGATGACCGCGCTCCAGTTCCCAGAAAGACATGCGGCAGGGCCTCCGGGCGCTGCGATCTGCAAAGAGGCTTGACCCTCACGCTCCTCCTCCTCCTCCTCCTCCTCCTCCTCCTTCTCCTCCTCCTGGTTCTCCTCCTCCTCCTCCTCCTCCTCCTCCTCTTCTCCTCCTTCTCCTCCGCATCCTCCTCCTCCTCCTCCTCCTCCTCCTCCTCCTCCTCCTCCGCCTCCTCCTCCTCCTCCTCCTCCTCCTCCTCCGCATGCTCCTCCTCCTGCTCCTCCTCCTCCTGAAAGAAGCGGTTGATGGCCCCAGGAGCTTTTATCTGGATCACCTCCATCCTACATCGTTGTCTGACGGTCCTAGGGCCCAGACTGGCCCACGGAGGAAAGAGACGGCAAAACATACCCTGGCGAAAGACCCAATCATATGCAGTTGTGCGTAGCGTCATTGTGAGTATCACCTTCGGTGGATCCCCTTATGGGGCCACGACGAAACGTGTCAGGGTTGTGCCGGAATGAGGCGGCGACGCCATGCAGACCCTGGCATTTGGTCCTTCGCTGGAGCTCCCTGTGGGGGCACGAAACGTGTGAGGGGTGTGCCGAAATGAGGCGGCGACGCCATGCAGACCCTGGCATTTGGGCCTCAGTTCGAGCCCCCGATACGGGGCATGAAGCGTGAGGTTGTGCCGGAATGAGGCGGCGACGGAGCTCTGTATAGGGCCACGAAACGTGTGAGGGGTGCCGGAATGAGGCGGCGACGGCATGCGGACCATGGCAGTTGGCCATTAGTTGGAGCTCCCTATAGGGACACGAAGAGTGTGTGAGAACTACGGAGGGCAGAGGCAGGTCGGAGGGCTTAGGTACGGATGGGAGGAGGGAGGAGGGGTAAGACGAGGAGGTGAGGAGGACGCGGGGCGCCGTTTCTTCAAAACGAGGACCCAACACCACAGGACGGTCTGGAAAAGCAATAGAAAGATGCCAAAGGAGCACTGCACCCACGACCCACGCCTCCGGCACGAGCGCGCCGAAGAAGTCCCCGGAGCCTCCGAAGAGCTCCTCAGGGAGGGGCGCCGAGAAGCCGTCCGTTCCGACGAAGCCTTCTGCCATGAAGACGCAGACTCACCCAGGTCACCCAGATTCGCGCATCGCGCCTCGCGATACACAACGCGCGGTTATCTTCGCACCCTCGCGCCGCCGCCCGGGAGAAGAGCGGCCTCTCCAACATTGTCCGACCCAAGCCGCGATGCGCGAAGCGCGGATAGATCCTTGCACCCCCTCTCGGGGGACCTGGAGAACCGAAGCGCGAGCCCCAGACGGTGATGCCTCAGGGTGCCAGTAGAGAACCTCTGGATGCAACGCGAGGCACGAGAAGAACGAGCGAGAGAGCATGTCTCGATTCGCGGCGATGACAGCCGTGATAGGGGGGGGGAGGGGGGGGGCGGAAGAACGAGCAAGAGAGCATGTCTCGATTCGCGGCGATGGCAGGCGTGATAGGGGGGGGGGAGGGGGGCGGAAGAAGGGGGGCAGCGCGTGACGTAACTCTGCGCCCCCCTCCGTGACAGACTGCGGCAGGAGCGTCACGGTATTGGGGGGGGGAGGGGGGGGGAGAGAGGCGGGGAGGGGGAGGGAGGGAGGGGGCATAACGCGCGGTGCCCTGGAAGGGCAAAACACTGCATGAGCATAAACTTTGGGCGCTCCGCGCGGATTTCTTGGATCTGCGCTGGATCCCCCTCCTTGGTGCGCGGAGCGCGCCAGGGACGGCGCCGGAGGCGCCGCCGGGGGGGGCCCAGCGCGGATCCAAAAAACCCGCGCGGAGCCCCAAAAGTTTATGTGTATGCCTTTCTTCCTCGACTAAATAAGGAGCCTCCTAGATGGGGTCCGAGTAGATGTGGTCGGAGGATCTCGCCGAATCGCTGATGCATCGGCGATGCACTGGCGACGTCGGCGGTGCATCGGCGACGTCGGCGTGGAGAAGATCGGGCCCCGAATGGAGCCGCATCGCCGATGCATCGCCGATGCATCGCCGATGCATCGGCGATGCGGCGAGATCCTCCGACCCCATCTACTCCGACCCCATCTAGGAGGCCAGGAGTAAAGCCGAGGAGCCGATGCAAAATCTCTGCATGCGAGGGCAGCAGGGCTGCAGTCGAGGTCAGTCTACGCATGCTGCGGGGTGCAGGCGCCGGGCCGTCGGGCAGCCGGGTTGCACGTCGCACCAAGGCACGAGGTCGCCCGGGGGCCTGGGGCCCAAGCACCCCGATGTCATACATGTATAAACATGAATATGAATAGATATACATACACAGATCCAAACACGTGCATACTTCCGAGCATACCTACAGGTGTATACATATATGTTTTGTATATCTGGTTATATATGCACAAACGTGCAGATCTAGAGATTTGCATACGGCGGATTCCGGACCCCCCCACCCTTCCGCCGGCTGGCTGCCTCCCGCCTTCCGCCGGCTGCCTCCCGCCTTCCGCCAGCCTTCCGCCCGCGGAGGCGGCCGCGTTTTTCCCCTCCGCCGGCCTTCCGCCGGCCTTCCGCCGCCTCCCGCCGAGGAAGAGAGGCCAGCTCCTGCGATCCCCGAAGACGAGGCCATGTCTGGAGCGCCTCGCACGTCTTGTGCACACGTGCGCGAATCAAGCGGCACGGCCATGAGAGCATGAAGATGCATGCTTCGCCCAGGGGCACTGCCGACATGCTCAGTACCATAACCGGTTGGCCCTTCTTCACAAGACTCTGTGCTGGTAGTACTGGTCCTCTCGAAAGAAGCATGTGACTTCGTACGACTCCCAGCAGCCCCTCTCACAGAAAGTGGTGCTGCCCCAAGCATGGCTCCAGGCGCGAGGTGATCGTGGCGAGCAGAGTACCTGGACAGCGGCCGCAGATGGAGAGAGAGGCATGAAGGAACAGCGGCAGCCGCGGGTGACCCAATCACGGCTGCAGAGGGGAAAAGGAAGCACGCACAGCAGGAAATACGCATATAGAGACTGGGAACAGGGGTCGTTGTCTCACTTGCCATACTCGGCTTTGGGTGGTGCTGTTGTCCGAAAGGCTGCATGTGGCGTCGGCGCAAGCACAGCTTGGTCGAATCTCGCAAGCCCTCTTGGCACAGGTGGTTTAACGATTTCTGCCTTCTCGCTGCCAGAGCGCCCTCCTTCCTCTGCTCTCCCACTGGGGCCTGGAAAGGGCGCCCCGCGAGGGGCTCGAGCGTCCAGGCTGGCCCAAGATGGCTTCAAGAGGGCCTCTGAGACTGCAAGATGGTATCCAGGAGTGCTCCAGGTAGCTCAAGATGGGTCAAGATACCCTCCGATGAGCATGCAAGAGACTTCAAGACGGCCCCAGGACGGTTTGAAGTGCTCTGCGAGCCCTCCAAGGACCTCCCCAAGAAGCCAAAATAGCTCCAACACCTCAGGAAAATCTATGTGTTGTGCGTTCTCGCTCCACGACAAATCAGATGGCCCCAAGAATGCCCAAGATGGCCGCAAGATATCTCCAAGCCGGCCCAAGATGCACCAGGACAGCCCAAGATGCCCTCCACAGGACCCAAGAGGACCCCAAGACGCCCCAACAGGGCTCCAAAAAGACCTCTGGGAGGCCAACATCAGTGACTCTCCAATAGTAGCTCAATGATTTTACCGTTCTCGCTGTTTCGGGATTCCGACGCTCACAAGATCGCCCCAAGACTGCCCAAGAGGCCCTATGACGGCCCCAGAAACCTCCAAGACGACCCTAAAGCGCCCAAGGAAAGACCCAGGACTGCCCAGAGAGAGCCCCAAGACGGCCTCCGAAGGCCAACAAGTCCGCAAGACGCACCGAGAGGCCCCCAAGAAACCCCAGGAGATCCCCAAGAGGCCCAAGGAGAACCCCAAGAGGCGCCTCAGGGGTCCTCAAGAGGCTCCCCGGAAGCCGCCAGGAGGCCCTAAGAGGGCCTCAAGAGGCGTCCTTTCCTCCTCCTCGTCCTCCTCCTCCTTCTCCTCCCTCTCCCCCTCCCTTCTTTTCCTCTCCCAAGTCTTCCCCGAAGGGGTTCCACAACGGCTGGGGGGGGAGCACATAGTCCAATAGATTGGCCAGACTTCGGCCCAACGTTTGGCCGCGGGCGTTTCCAGAAGGCAGGGGGCGGCGGTGATTCGCCGCAGGCGTCGTCGATCTAGCTTTGCGACTCACTCGGTGGCACAAAGCAAGAGGAAACGCTCGGTCCGCAATCTGCAAGCCCAATGGCGAGACCGTAAGAGACCAGAAAGCAACGCCGACTCTCAAATCAAAGCACCAGGCCAACCTTCAATCGCAGACGCCACGCTGAACATTGAATATTGGGCGTGCCGTGAATGCAACCCCACCTGGCAAATCGTGAGTCGTGTTCGTCGCCGTGCGACGATCCGTGTGTCCGAGAAAGCGCGCGCCTGTCTACTGCTCGCCATGTCAACATGTACCACTGCCAATATCAGATAGTGGTAGTGGTACACATTGTCGAGGTAATGCCCCGGCAACATCCCAATTGTAGTGTCAAAAAGATTCGATGGTGTCCCGAGGGCGTCCTATCGCAGCGTCCCGCGTGTCTTGCATTCTGTATACCCCAACCCTCGATACCCGCCCACTTCGTCTTCGATTGCACTCCCTCTCGGGGGGAATATCTTCCTTGTCGGCTACTGACTGAAGCGCGAAGAAGTCTCAAGCGAGAGCGCCGTTCCTGAGTTCGGGGGCATCTCTGGCCAAGGGCTCCCGGAATACGTACGGAGAAATATCGAGCGGGAGCCCGTTTCGCCGTGTCTGGGCCTCCACCAACTTGCCTGGATTACAAGAATGTCTCGAACGAGCGCGCCGTTCCTGAGATCGGGGGCCTTCCTGGCAAGGAGCTCTCGGAGTAAATCGTGAGGAAGTATCACGCAGGAGCCCTTGTTGGGCCGCACAGAGACATACTAATATTATATGTTCTCCTTTGAGGCGCGCGTCCGACCCGAACATGTAGTATACCCATATTGTAGTATATCGTTTTCCGAGCGGTGTTGCCAGAAAGCGCCCGCCTCGACGCATATACTATAAGAGTTCTCGGTGCGCACGTCGCCTCTAGGGGGCGACGCACACATAGTATGAGTATGTTGGGATGGCGCCGTCTTGTCGTAGTCGCTGGGCCTCCACCAACTCGACTGAATTGCGAGGAAATCTCGTGCGCGAGCGCCGTTCATGAGTTCGGGGGCCTCTCTGGCCAGGATGTCTCGGGGTAAATTGTGAGGAAGTCCAACGGGAGCCGTTGTCGTCGTAGCTGGGGCTCCAAGAACCCACACTTTGGCTCAAGCCAACGCTCGCGCGGGAGCCTCGCGTTTACTAAAAATGTAGCCCGCGTCGAGGCGAGAGCGCGCGGAACCGTTGCCAGAGATCCACAAAAGTACTCTCTATAATATTAAACACCACCACCAACAACAACAACAACCACCACCAAAATAACAACAGCAGCAGCAGCAGCAACAAAAACATCAACAACAACAACAACAACAACAACAACAACAACAACAACAACAACAACAACAACAACAACAACAACAACAACGACGACGACGACGACGACGACGACGACGACAACAACAACAACAACAACAACAACGCCAGCATTAGCAACAACAACAACACCAACAACAACAATAACAATCATTTTGAGACTGTTCGCCCTTATATGCTCGAGTGTCTAATCACGCGTATTTCCCAAACCCTCGATGTCCGCCCTCTTCGTCTTCGATCGAACCCCTTTTGGGGGCATACCTTTCTTCCCTGCAGGCCGGGCCCCGGCAAGCGGCGGGGCGGCCGCGGACCGTCGGCCTGGCCAGCGGCAGCGCTGATCGGCGGGGCGGCCGCGGACCGTCGACCCGACCCCAAGAGGGACGGACAGGGGACCGACCACGACGACGACGACGACGACGACGACGACGAAGACGACGGCGACGACGGCGACGACGAGCGAAAGCGAGAGCGAGAGAGAACGACAGCAGGGCCACGAAGGGCACGAAGTAGGCCACGAAGGGCGACAGCGGGGACACGAAGGGAATGCGTATGGGGCCACGAAGAGTGCGAACGAGCGGGGGCCACGAAGTGCAGATAATGCGGGGCCACAGAAGGCAACTATGGGGCCACTGAGGGTAGCAGCTGGGCCACGTAGGACAATGAGGGGGACACAATTGGTGACAGCGGGGCCACGAAGGGCATGCACATGGGCCACAACGGGCGCGACTCCTGGGTGCCTGGGTGTCGGGAGCGCGGCGCTTGGGCTAATTGCAAGAAATTCCAACGCAAGGCTATTCTTCAGTAAGTTGCAAGCAAGTCTCCAGCGAGAGCGCGACTCCAGAGCTCAGGGAGAGCGATTCCTTAATAAATTGTAAGGAAGTCCCAAGCGAGAGCGCGACTCCTGAATAACATGCGAGGAAGTCTCGGGCGGGAGCGGGGGTCCTGCCTAAATTGTAAGGAAGTCTCAAGCGGGAGCCGTTGTTGTTGTAACCCGGAGGCCAGGGGGCCAGTTTGAGCAGGAAGACTTTCCCTGTCAAAAAACCGG